GACCAAATTTCTAACTTTTGGTGTCATTACCATCGGGAAAAGATTCTCTATCATTTCATAAGAAAAAATATTTTTTTTTTTTTTTTTTTTTTTTTTTTTTTTCAAAAATTGAGCAACATAGAATGACAGTTTCAGAGAGGGGCCTGAAACAGTCAAAGGGTTAAAGCAAGGACATCCAGCTTCTTCTCATTCATAACATCCACAATCATCTCTTTCTTATCATTCGCACAACATCCACGAACATTCAGACATCCCAGAAGTAAATCCTGCATGCCTGTTGATACGGGACACGGTTAACCCTTTCAGGGTCCGTCCCGTTCAGGGTCCAAACCGTAGATCTACGCCATGAGCTCAGCTCACTCTGATAAACTGTGAGTGGTACATTTGGGCCTAGATATGAGAGAATACATCTATGTGGTATGTGTGCACCACATAAAACAGATCCTGCAGCACACTGTGTATAATGAGAGAAAAAAAATGAAATCATGATTTTTCGATTAAAACAGCAACTTTGCAGTGTTTTTTCGTATGTTTTTTATAGTTGTATTTGCGATTTCTTGGTCTCATTTGATAGAATGGAAGACATATTACAGAAATAGAGATGATTTTGATTGGTTTTAGCACTGGAAATGGCTTGAAACTGAGCTCAAAGTAGCAGAAATGTTAAATTTTTGCCGATATTCAAGAGTAAACAAACGACCTCACACGTCTAATACACATCAGCTGGTGGGTCTAATATACATTCACAAATATGGTGATGATATTTATACAATTATTACAGTATTGCATAACAGTAAATCTTCTATTTTTTGGTGTGAATAAAAATTCATTATGTGAATAAAAAATCAAAATGGAATTTATTTGTAAAGCCTCAAAACATAACTAATGAACAGAGGAAATGTTAGTTTAGTGCCAGGAATGCCTACATTGTTCATTCTGGACCCTATTTTGAAATTAGAATATTTTGAACTTTGGGTTAAATTGGCCAAATTAACAGTTTCCGATCACTTTATTTTGTAGTTGAAACAGTTGACTTGGCGATTTCTTGTGCTCAATCGATAGAATAGAAGTAATACTAGTGAAATAGCTAAGAATTTGATTGACTGGAATAATGTAATTGGCCTAAAATGGGAGTCAAAGTCGGCAAAATCGCCGATTCGTAAATATCGCTGACCCATCAAAATTCGCGAGAGCATAATTTCGTCAATTTTCCACCAAATTTCGTACTTTTTGTTTTATTACCTTCACAAAAAGATTCTCTACGATTTCATAAGAAAAAATAACAATTTTTTTTTTTTTAAATTCTTGGACACTGGTGCGTGACTCCAGATTTGGGCCTTGGACCCTGAAAGGGTTAAAAGGGGGTGGATGGACAGTGCGACCCAACAATATCCAAAGAGTGATGCTGGTCATTTCTCCATGTGGTATCTGTGAGTGAGTCATGTGTCTGATTCATAAATATGAAAGTGCAACTTCTCTCACCTAACAGTGGTGGGAAGAAGATAGCCAGAATCCCAGTTGTGGTTTTAAAGAAAATTTGTTGTGTTCGTCCGACCCTGGTCAACATTATTGTCAGCATTTGCAGAGCTATTAAAGGAGTGCTAAAAGTAGTCCTAGAAAGGAATAACCCTGCAGGAAACTGGAAGGTCATGAATAGCTGATTGAGTAACTGAGTCTTCTTGTTCATTGCCCTAAACTTTGGTATATCAGGGACCCAGCAGAAATGACTTCTTTGTGTTTGCTAGAAATTCGATGTAACTAAAGTTGTATGCATGTGATGATGGCATGAGAGGAGTCAAATTTCTGGATATCTTGTAACTCACTTTGGGAGATGGAAGCAGCCACAAATGATGAAACAGACATGGTTCTCAGAATTACTTATGATGCTGCTGTGAAAATACTGGAACTCCAGTAAAATATCCTTAGAATATTCTTCCCAGAAAAACAGCTGTATACTCAACACAGTTGAGACTTCTAGGACCATCAGTGTACACAGCTATAGCATGGGAATGGGTTTAAAAGTACGTACAGTGGAACCTCGGTTTTTGTGTGCCCTAATTTTTATGTAAAACTTTAGTTATTCTCTATAAAATGTATTTTTTATTATATTTCTCATAAGAAATAATGTAAATCCACTTAATCCATTCCAGACACCCAAAAATATTAACAACAAATACATTTTATAGAGAATATAGTTTTACATGCATACTAGGGCATACGAAAACCGAGATTCCACTGTATTCATGAATGAGTGAGCATAATGTTGTAATAAGCAAGGGAGCTTTTGCGCATGGAAACTGGAAGGACCAAACCTGAATAGTCAGAACTTCCCAAGGAAGGATGGAAAAGTGTAAGATGGAGAGTGAATGCAAAGAGGAGGAAAATTAAGTGATAACAGTAGAGCATGAACACAGAGATGAATACTTAGAGAAATTATTTTCCAGTAAAAGTAGACCCTAGACAGGGATGCATTATGTCACCATGGTATAACATATTTATAGATGGGTTGTAAAAGTGACTGCTAGGGTGTGGGATGAAAATATGCAGAATTTAATAAAAAATGGGAGTTGTTACAGTTACTTTTTGCTGATGACACTATGCTTTTAGGATATTCCGAAGAGAAGTTGCAAAAGTTGGTGGATGAATTTGGGAGGGTATGTCAAGGGGGAAAATTAAAAGTGAACGTAGAAAAGAGCAAGGTGATGAGGGTTACAAATGAGTTAGGTAATGAAAGACTGGATATCAGATTGCAAGGAAGGAGTATGAAGGAAGTGAATGTGTTCATATATTTGTGAGTGGAATTGTTGGCATATGGGTATGTGAAAAACAAGGTGAATCATAGAATTCAAATTCAAATTCAAAGTTTATTCTCTATAAGGACTACAATGCTGAGTTTACAGAATTTGGTTATTGTGTGGTTTACATGTAGTAAAATAATAATTACAGAATGTACCACTAGAACTAGCATGGCTAGGTATTTCGGGCAGACTTAGATTAAATCTTAAGTTTAAAATATTACAGAATTATGAGCTAAGTTGGTATTATGGCTAAGTGACTAAATACTAGTTTGTGAGTTTAGCAATGTGAATGCTTTTGTTTTGGCACTATACATAGTTTCAGTATTGGAGTATCACAGGCCAACTTATGACTAGTTAAGATTCATTACTTTGAGATTGAGATTGATATTTCTGTTTATGGTCAAATGGGTGAGTGAGTGTAAGTGTTAACCACCAGGTGGTATTTGTGTAATTAGTTGACGGGGTGTATCAGGGAGATAAGATGTTTTCTGATGGTAGCTTTGAAGGTGATGAATATGTCTGCAGTTTTAGAATTTTCAGGTAGGGTGTTCCAGATTTTAGGGCCTTTGACATACATTGAATTTTTGTAAAGGTTTAGTTGGACACGGGGAATGTCATAGAGATGTTTGTGTCTGGTGTTGTGCCTGTGGGTTCTGTCACAACTATCAAGAAAGTGTTTTAGGTCAAGGTTAATATTGGAATTTAAGGTCCTGTAGATGTAGATTGCACAGTAGTAAGTGTGGATGTACTGAACAGGGAGTAAGTTTAGATCTATGAAGAGTGGGGGGGGGGTTGCCAGGGATGGGATTTAGTGATTATTCTTACTGCGGCTTTTTGTTGGGTTATTATTGGCTTTAGGTGTGTTGCTGCAGTTGAACCCCAAGCACAGATAGCATAGGTGAGGTATGGATATATAAGTGAACGGTATAGTGTGAGAAGGGCAGTTTGCGGCACGTAGTATCGTATCTTGGAGAGGATTAAGAGAAAAAGGTAGATGGTGCATTGAGTCATCTGTGGAGACAGAGTGTTATCCATGGAGGCAAAAAGGAGAATGTATCAGAGTATAGTGGTACCAGCACTATTATATGGGTGTGAAGCATGGGTTCTGAATGATGCAGCAAGGAGAAGGCTGAAAGCAGTGGAAACGTCATGTCTGAGAGCAGTGTGTGGTGTAAATATGCAGAGGATTCATAGCTTGGAGAGTGGGAGGAGGTGCAACAGAGGATAATTTGGAGGGTGTACAACTCTGTAGTGGAGGGAAGGCAGGGTAGGGGATTGTCCTAGGAAAGGTTGGAGGGAAGGGGTAAAGTAGAGTTGGAAATCCATGAGGTGTGTGTGAGCGTGTTACATAGGAGCGAGTGAAGGAAAATAGTTTTTAGGACTCAGTGAGCTGTTGGAGTGTGAGCAAGGTAACATTTTGTGAAGAAATTCAGGGAAACCGGTTAGGCAGGCTTGAGTCCTGGAGGTAAGTACAGTGCTTGCACTCTGACGGAGGGGTGGGGATATTTGCAGTTTACAGGGGCATGCAAACTGTCGTATCAGTGTGCTCTCACAAGTCAATGATGGAGTGAATGATGGTGAAAATGTTTCTTTTTTTGGGTCACCCTACCTCAGTGGGAGATGGCCAGTGTGTTAAAAAAAATCTGTGTACTATACACTTCTATATACTGTACTTTCTCTCCTCTCTCCTTTTTGCTAACTCTATTTTCCTTCATGTACTCCAGTGAGTTTTACTGATATGTACATGCATTTTGTCAAACTTTTGCATGAGGCCATTGTCAGTTTTAAATTGTTTAAACAAATGTGTGAGTTATACTGTACTCTTTACCATTTTTCATTATTTCACTTTTATCTTGCATGAGGCAGCTAATATATGTACTAAAACATTTTCTTTTTAGAGTATTCATTTAATTTGTCTTGATCATCTCATGTTAAAGTCTACTGCAGCTGCCTTGACCTTGTACAGTAATTCTTCTCTTCATGCTGATGTGCTATATATGATCGACTTTTATGATTTAAATGTTGTTCACAGAACATGGAGATTCCTTTAATGAAGAATTGAGTCTTGATGACCTGATTTAGCTTCCAACAGCTACGAAGGGCAGGGAACACATTTACAACATAAAGCAAGGGACTTCTGTATTCATGATTCAAAATATTTAATAATGTACTAATGTAGACTTAATGGTGATCATATTTCAGGTGTACCTACAGCAACTTATTGTTCTGTGCAGCGAGTTAGAAGCATCTCCGCTGTGTGGTGCTCCTCCATCACGTGTCACTTTGGCATACTTCTCTCCCTTCTTTCAACGAGGAGTGTTTGAAACAGCCAGACACACTACGAGTTAGGATGGCATTGACAGATATATTCTTCAAGATGATAAAGTTTATGACTTGTTTTTCCTTACCAATAAGTGTTATGTTTAAGAAAACATTTCACGAGCAGGGAGGGTAGGGCTGTGTATTTTGATTAAAAGATTTGCAAATGTGTATGATCTGTATTCAGAAAACTGATAAAATTATAAATCAGTATTTATTAACATAAGAATCAACATAAAAATTCAAAGCAAATCTGTAGAAATGTTAATAATTACTCTAAGGAAATTTTCCTACCATATTTATATAAAAAGTGACTAGATGATATAAGGTGCAATGTAGGTTACCAGTAAACATACAAAGATAGAAAATATTTAGGTGTATATTTCTCTAATTACTAGTAGTACTAGTAAATAAGGCAACAAGATTTATACGTAAAGAGTTAATCAAAACTATTTAAAGGTATGATAGCCATTTTTTGTTCAGTATGTAATTTTTATTGCAGCACTTGGGATGAGAGAGCACAGCAACCTTATAGAATCACTCCTTGTAAGATATATAGGAGAGCTGTATGACCCTTACAGGTGTAGTGCTTGTTTTTGAGTACAGTACAGTATAGTAATATTAATAATATAAGACATTAGGAGTCACTTCATAGGTTACCAGTAATTAATTCATTTTATATTGCTTTCATAAAATTTTTCACTTAATTGAATTGAAAAGTATTCTCACATAAGGTAAGACAACATTGCAATATAAGGTATGCGAGGCAGCTTTATCATATTTTGAAGTCAAGAGAATCTCAGTTTGGTGTTTTCAAAGATCAGGGGACACTCTTCTCTACTATAATAAATACAAATGCATTATTGTGATATTATATATTATTAATATTAATAGAAGTTTAACCGTGTAATTATACAAACAGTCAGTACACTGCATTTCATGATGCTAATGATCTGAAGCCAAACAATTGATAAAGACAGACCAATTTTTTACACTAAGTTAAGGTCCAAATACTTCATTGGTGCTTAAGGCAGTTCTCCCAAAATGTAGCATTTAGATGCATAATATGGCAGATTTTGGCAAAGAAACAGATCTCATTAGTGCTTACAGGTACATTGCCTATTTTCCAGCACCCTTCGTTCCTAGGCTTTGCCTGTATAATGAATTTGTCACTAAGCAAGGAGTATACTATAATAGTAGTGGGTTTCTGTCAACCATCTTTGATATTGTTTTAATGTCAACTTTGCACCATTTATAACATTTTTAGTATATTTTTAAATGTTTATACAGTAGTGTACTGTATATTGTAATAAACAGAATACAGGAAATCAGCTCTAATATACTTTATTTAGGTACACATACTGGTCAGAGAGCCCATCGTAAGTCCGAGTCGCTAGTAAACGAGTATGTCTCTAAGTGAGGAGAGGCTGAAAGAATAATAATAATTCAGCATTATGCCTTTAAGGCACTATGGACTCCTGGAAACTTAAATCAAACATTAGCTTAAATGAAATAGGTTACTTTATTACTGTACTTTAAAGAATATTTCAGTACTACCACTACCAAAATGGTAAAATTTAGAATTTTACTGGAGCTGTAGAGCTAATCACTAAGGTTGGCAAAATATATTAAGAATGGCATAAAATTAAAGGGTCACCATCAACAACAGTGTAAACAACAAAATTAAGCACACACCTCACATAACACCATCTGTGGACACCTAGGGAACTATTTTGGCAAAATCTAGTCTCATAATTTGGTTTGGCCAGAAGAGGTGCTGGATGATCCATTGCTGGTAAATTGGTGTTGTACCTGTATTTGCATATTTTTATCCTTTAAAATGTACTGAAACATTCTTTATAATACTAACAAACATGGGTTTATGATGTAAATTCTTGTCATAATTTTTATCGTAATTGTTGAGAATTGAATTTTCTCATTATTTTCATTAATTAATGGCCTGTATCACATGTTTTAATATTTGATTAGCAGTGGTTAGCTAATAATATATGAATATAATTCCAGATATACTCAATTAATATAGAGGTATAAGAAGAGATGTTAAAGGAATATACTGTAGGTGATACAATCACTATTTGTTTATTTACTATTCATACATTTTAGTGTCAGTAACTCTTTTCACCACCAAGATCGTGATTTCAAAGGTGTTCTATCTCTGGCTGCAGAAGTTGCAGTTTTACTCTGGCTGCCATAAATTTGTCAAAAAAAATATTTGCTGTTTTGCAGTGATTTTAGAACCAAGAGGTGCAAGTTCAGTGTGTTAGGTGCTACAATCTTCTGGCCAGAATTAAAGGTCTGCATATTCACAGAGCACCTCTGGCACACCCACCTCACGTGGGATTATCATTTTAATCCGATACCCTGTAATATATTTTAAGCAGTAAATAGCATGCAAAATTTTTTGGTAAATGTAGTGTTGTATTGTAAATATAAAAAAATGGGAAATATGTTTTGAATTCACGATTAAATGAGGTGAAAGCATAAGGTAAATCTCTCTTGCTGTCTCTCTCTTCACATTTCCCTCCCATCCCACACACTTCAGTTGTCTCTGAAATCTTGTCTTAAATCTAGAGTTGTTCAGTATAAGCAAGCACTGAGTGAAACAAACTTAAAAGGAGCAAGAGAGTTTGAATAGGGAGGAGTATATGGAGTTAAATCAGGTGTATCTGAGAGAACCAGAGCAAATGGAGTAAAGGTAATATTAAATGAACAATTGTAGAAAGAAAGAGGTTTTAGTTTTACCTTCAAAAATTATGTGGAGTCGAGTGAAAGTAAGATAAGAGAAGTGACTGGGTGTGCATGTGCGACTGATATCTCAGATCATTTTTATAATAACCACAGTGATTATGTACAATTGTTTCTGGTTGAGATAGTATTTTATTGTGCAAATGGTAAAAAATGTAACCAAAACAAATGGAACCCAACAAAACTAACTTAATTAAATTTCCACCAAAGGTATGGTGTGTGTGTTTGTTTACATTCAGCTGGCACGTGACACTACTCAGTAATGAGCATTGATTGGCTCAGATGTATTACACAACCAAAATTAATGGACTACTTTCACTATTATCTCTCAAAATATCAGGTTGCACAAGAAACATTTATTCCATCGGGTATTTAGGTTGTATGTATCGTATAATATAAACTAATACAGCCTCTCCTCACTTAACGACAAAGTTCCATTCCTCAATGTCGGTAAGCGAATTCGTCACTAAGCAAGGAGCATACTATAATGGTAGTGGGTTTGTGACAAAACAATCTTTTATATTGTTTTAATGTCACCTTTGCACCATTTATAACATTTTTAGTATATTTTTAAATGTTTATACAGTAGTGTTCTGTATATTGTAATAAACAGAATAGAGGAAATCAGCTCTAATATACATTATTTAGGTATGCAATATGGTCAGAGATCCTGTTGTAAGTCCAAGTCATCAGTAAACGAGTATGTCGCTAAGTGAGGAGAGGCTGTACTCAAGTTAGGTAACCTTAGCTGTAGCTACAGTAATAGAAAGAGGCAGATGGAGTACAAGAAGAATCGTTTCAGTGTGTAAGAAAAAGTGAAAGTGAATGAACTGAAGCAGGGAACACTTCGTGGGAGGTATGAGCAATTGTTGAAAGAAAGGAGGGCCAGAGAGAGTATAGGTAATGAGGAGGTTGAGGAAGTATGTGGTAAATTTAAGAATGGAGTGCCAGAATGTACAGCAGAGGTTTGTGTTACAGGAGTTTGGGGTGTCAGTGGAACAAGGAATGATTGGCAGAATTATGATGTAAGGAGGGTGGTAAGAGAGGAAATATAGGCATAAGAATGACTTTTATAATGCAGAAATTATGTACAGAAGGCAGAGTACAGTGGACCCCCGCATAACGATCACCTCCGAATGTGACCAATTATGTTAGTGTATTTATGTAAGTGCGTTTGTACGTGTATGTTTGGGGGTCTGAAATGGACTAATCTACTTCACAATATTCCTTATGGGAACAAATTCGGTCAGTACTGGCACCTGAACATACTTCTGGAGTGAAAAAATATCGTTAACCGGGGGCCCACTGTATATGTAAACAGAGGATAACTGAGTGGTGATGGACTGCAAAAAGAGAGCGAATGAGAACATGAGTGTCTCAGTAGATTTTGTGAGAATAAAAAATGGATTTTGTAGGTAGTAGGTTGGTAGACAGTAACCATCCAGGGGGGTGCTACCATTCTGCCAAGTGAGTGTAAAACAAAAGCCTGTAATTGTTTTACATGATGGTAGGATTGCTGGTGTCTTTTGTCGTCTCATAAATATGCAAGATTACAGGTACGTCTTGCTACTTCTACTTACACTTAGGTCACACTACACATACATGTACAAGCATATATATACACACCCCTCTGGGTTTTCTTCTATTTTCTTTCTAGTTCTTGTTCTTGTTTATTTCCTCTTATCTCCATGGGGAAGTGGAACAGAATTCTTCCTCCGTAAGCCATGCGTGTTGTAAGAGGCAACTAAAATACCAGGAGCAAGGGGCTAGTAACCCCTTCTCCTGTATATATTACTAAATGTAAAAGGAGAAGCTTTCATTTTTCCTTTTGGGCCACCCCGACTCGGTGGGATACGGCCGGTGTGTTGAAAGAAAGAAGAAAAAATGGATTTGGAGAGAGATGAATAAATTGAGAAAGCTTAAGAGCAAATTGACGGGGCAGTTAAGAATGAAGGAAGTGAGATTTTTTAGGTGGGAGGTCGAGGTACTAGAAAGATGGAGAAAATCTTCTGAGGGGTTGTTGTTAAATGTTGATAAATGTTGTCTGAGGGCAATGTGTGGTGTGAATATAATGCAGAGAATTCGTAGTTTGGAAGTTAGGAGGAGGTGCGGGATTACCAAAACTGTTGTCCAGAGGGCTGAGGAAGGGTTGTTGAGGTGGTTCGGACATGTAGAGAGAATGGAGCGAAACAGAGTGACTTCAAGAGTGTATCAGTCTGTAGTGGAAGGAAGTCTGGGTAGGGGTCGGCCTAGGAAAGGTTGGAGGGAAGGGGTAAAGGAGGTTTTGTGTGCGAGGGGCTTGGACTTCCAGCAGGCATGCGTGAGCGTGTTTGATAGGAGTGAATGGAGACAAATGGTTTTTAATACTTGACGTGCTGTTGGAGTGTGAGCAAAGTAACATTTATGAAGGGGTTCAGGGAAACCGGCAGGCCGGACTTGAGTCCTGGAGATGGGAAGTACAGTGCCTGCACTCTGAAGGAGGGGTGTTAATGTTGCAGTTTAAAAACTGTAGTGTAAAGCACCCTTCTGGCAAGACAGTGATGGAGTGAATGATGGTGAAAATTTTTCTTTTTTGGGCCACCCTGCCTTGGTGGGAATTGGCCAGTGTGATAATAAATAAAGAAAAAAAAGGGAGGAGGTGATATCCCAGGCAGAAGAAAGAATGAGCCAGGAGTGAATGGATGAAATTCATGTAGCAGTGGGTATTACAAAATATAAAAGTCTCAGGACATGTGGGATTTTGACAAAGATCCTGAAAGAAGGTGAGGTAGTGCTGGAGTGGCTGGTATATAGTTTGATATATGCGTGAAAGAAGAGAAGGTATTTAAAGACTGGCAGAGAGAATGAATAGCTTTTTGTATAAGGGAGAAGAGGACAAGAGCCAGTGTGAGAATTGTAAGGAAATAATCTTGTTACATTTGCAAGGTAAATTGTGTGGTAGTTGTTACCATTACTACTACTTACAGAATGTAGTATCAGGGATTTCTGGCATTATAAGAAGAATGTTGCAATTTTTTCAATGATATTCAGTCAAAATCAGTCTTCACTGATTCATGTTATGAGAGGGTTTACTGTAGCATTAAACATTACTTAATGTATACATATTAATTAAATAGAAGAGAGCTACAGTAGATTATCCCCAGTAGAGTACAGATGTATAGGGGCTGGCAGCAGCTGGGCTGCCTCCATCTCTTTCTCATTCTCACTCTCTTATTTACTCTGGCGTTGTAGATGAATGGGTCAGAGAACTGACAAGTTGATAAATTAGACACATGTGCAACACTTGGGTATCTTTATTGAGGAAACGTTTCGCCACACAGTGGTTTCATCAGTCCATACAAAGGAGAACGGGGAAGAACAGGAGAAGTTTGAGGTAATCGGTCCCTCAGCCTTGAGTCGATGTGGTCAGTCCATCAATCTTCTCAAGATTGATGGACTGACCACATTGACTCAAGGCTGAAGGACTGATTACCTCAAACTCCTCCTGTTCTTCCCCATTCTCCTTTGTATGGACTGATGAAACCACTGTGTGGCGAAACGTTTCCTCAATAAAGATACCCAAGTGTTGCCCATGTGTCTAATTTATCACTCTCACCTTGTTTTGTACCTAACTCAACACTCTTTACATATTCTCAGCGCTCCCTCACTATTTTTTTTTTTATAACAAAACCGGCCATATCCCACCAAGGCAGGGTGACCTAAAAAGACAAACGAAAGTTTCTCTTTTTAAATTTAGTAATTTAAACAAGAGAAGGGGTTACTAGCCCCCCTTGCTCCCAGCATTTTAGTCACCTCTTATGACCCATATGGCTTACGGAGGAAGAATTCTGTTCCACTTCCCAATGGAGATAAGAGAAAATAAACAAGAACAGGAACTAGTAAGGAAATAGAAGAAAACCCAGAGGGGTGTATGTATATACAGTGGACCCCCGCATAACGATCAGCTCCCAACTCGACCAATGATGTAAGTGTATTTTTGTAAGTGCTTTTGTAGGTGTATTTTTGGGGGTCTGAAACAGACTAATCTACTTCACAATATCTCTTATGGGAACAAATTCGGTCTATAACGGCACTCAAACAGACTTCTGGATTGAAATAATATCGTTATGCAGGGGTCCACTGTATATGCTTGTACATGCATGTGTAGTGTTACCTAAGTGTAAGTAGAAGTAGCAAGATGTACCTGAAACCTTACATGTTTATGAGACAGAAAAAAGACACCAGCATTCCTACCATCGTGTAAAACAATTACAGGTTTCCATTTGACACTCACTTGGCAGGATGGTAGTACCTCCCTGGGTGGTTTCCCTCACTGTTATGGTGAAGATGTTAGGTGCCTGGGTATATTGTGTGACACCTCCATTACACAAGCAGCAGCAGCTACCAGAGCCCAACAGAACAATGTAATCATTTAATCTACAGTTTTTAACCAGTCACTATTAAAAAAAATCCGAGCTCTCAACATATGCATAAATGAACATGTATGAAATATGAATTGTTTTGATAACTGAGAAAAAATATTTACAATTCATCCTAAAGAAAATCTTGAATGCAGTAGTAAATCTGTAGTTCCTGATCATTCTCTGTGCATGCATAAAATTAACATATGCAGGCATCTCTTGCTTTGTGGATTTACCATGTGCAATGACTATTTCTACCAGGAATTTGCTATATGTGGTAAAAATTCACTTATTCTATTGGGGTGGATGTCGCTGTTCGTTTTCCCTTAACTTGCGGTCACCCAAGCACAGCATCACTTAATTTTTTGCCAATATTGTATTAATTTTTGTTTTTAACAACAGCCATTTCCCACCAAGGCAGTGTAACCCAGAAAAAGAGAAAACAAAAGTGTTTCTTCTTTTCACATTTAGTAATTCATGCAGGAGAAGAGGTTACTAGCCCCTCGCTCCCAGCATTTTAGTTGCCTCTTACGACATGCAAGGCTATGGAAGAAGGATTCTTCGCCACTTCCCCATGGAGATAGTATTAAATATCACCCTAAATTTGTTCATATTGACATTCATAGAAAGATGTAAAAAGGAAAAAAAAATCCTCTGATGTGGTAATGTGTAGCATGTTGAAGGTAGTGGTGAGTTAGAGATGGTGTTGTGTGATGTCCCACATCTCACTCTAAACATGTCCAGGACATGTGAGCCCCTGTCCTCTCCTGCCACACCTAATATCAAGGGAGGCAGTGAATCACTAAGAAAGCAGATATAGAGAATGTACAGAGAGCTTTTACTGCACATGTAAGTTCCATCAAACACCTAATCTACTGGGAATGCTTGGAAGCACATGACTTGTACTCGCTGGAGTGCAGGCAAAAGAGATACGTTCATCATAATCTACACTTGGAAAATCCTAGAAGGAATGGTTCCTAATCTACACACACAAATCACTCCCTATGAAAGCAAAAGAGTGCCATTGGTACACTAAGAGAAAACACAATAAGTGTCTGGGGCCCAAGACTTCAGCAGCCTCCCACCAGGCATAAGGGGAATTGCCAATAGACTCCTGGCTGCCTTCAAGATGGAGCTGGACAGATACCTAAAGTCACTGCCAGACCAGCCAGGGTGTGGTTCGTATGTTGGACTATGTGCAATCACTAGTAACGACCTGGTTGATCAAGCCCTGATCCATCTGGAGGCCTGGTCGTGGACTGGGGTGTTGATCCCCTGAACACTCTCCAAGTAGACTCCAAGCAGGTAGGTAGGTAGACCAATTCTCTTGTATTTAGGCCAAAATTTACTGCTCACAGCTTATCTGAGTGAGCTGAGCTCATGGCATAGTACTACAGCACTGACCCTCAAGGGGTTGATGCTTACAGACTACTTAAAACTAGACATAGGTTATGGAGTGGTTAATTTTGATTATGTATTATTAGCAAAAACTAAGTGACTCACAAAATTGTAATTACATGATTGCAAATAAACCATGGTACAGGTGGGGATTGAACTTGCATCTAGCGAGCCATAAAGAGGGAGCAAAAAGTATTACATTTAGTACAGTTTACAATGCTGCAATAGTACAATTTAAAGTGATTAGTACTACTTTAAACTGATTTTGTGGCTTTAAGTTAATTAGGATTTCTTGAGTAGTTTCAAACTTTTTATGATTTCAGGATAGGAAAGATTATAAGAGATGGTTAAGAAAAGGAAGTACAGCCTCTCCTCACTTAACGATGGGGTTCCGTTTCTAAGACTGCATCGTTAAACGAATTTGTCACTAAGTGAGGAACATACTCTAATGGTAGTGAGTTTGTGTCAGCTTTGCACCATTTATAACATTTCTGGTATATTTTTAAATGTTTATACAGTAGTGTACTGTACATATATTAAAATAAACAGAATAGAGGAAATCAGCTCTAATATACATTATTTAGGTATGAATACTGGTCAGAGAGCCCATCGTAAGTCCGAGGCATCAGTAAACGAGTACATCATTAACCCTTTGAGGGTTTTCGTCGTACTAGTACGTCTTACGCGTAGGGGTTTTTGACGTACTAGTACTCATAAATTCTAGCGGCCTCAAATCTAGTGGGAGAAAGCTGGTAGGCCTTCATATGAAAGAATGGGTCTATGTGGTCAGTGTGCACAGTCTAAAAAAAATCCTGCAGCACACAGTGCATAATGAGAAAAAAAAAACTTTTACCATTTTTTTTTAATAAATCAGCGACTTTGCAGTGTATTTTCGTATGGTATTTATTGTTGTATTCTAGTTTTCTTGGTCTCATTTTATAGAATGGAAGACATATTACTGAAATTGAGATGATTTTGACTGGTTTTACAACGAAAGGTGCCTTGAAATTGAGCTCAAAGTAGCAGAAATGTTCGATTTTTACCAAACTTCAAAAGTAAACAAATCGTGCCAAGCGTGCAATACACGTCAACTGGTGAGTCTAATATTCTTTCACAAGTGCACCAATAATATTTATACCATTTTTTACACTAATGCAGTAGTCTGCATAACAGTAAATCTTATATTTTTTGTGAGAATAAAAATTCAAAGTGGAAAGCAAAAGAATATAAGAGGGGCCTTGAGACGTGACTAATGACTAGAGGAAATGTCGTTTTAGTGCCAGGAATGTCTTTCTTGTTTATTCTGGACCCTATTTGGAAATTGGCATCTTTTGAAATTTGTGTGAAATTGGCAAAATTGCTAAATTCTGACCACTGTACTGGATAGTTGAATTTATAAATGGGTGGTTTCTTGCACCCATTCGATAGAAAAAATGGAGTTCTAGCGAAATATTCATGTTTTTTGTCGACTAGTACAGTGAAATTGGCCGAAAATGGGGCTCAAAGTGGGCAAAATCGCCGATGCGTAAACATCGCCGAGACCGCTAACTTTGCGAGAGCATAATTTCGTAAGTTTTCTATCAAATTTCAAACTTTTGGTGTCGTTATGATCGGGAAAAGATTCTCTATCTTTTCATAAGAGAAAATAATTTTTTTTTTTTTTTAAATTTGGCCGACCCTGAGAACGAGTTTCGGAGAGGGCCTGTCGACCCTCAAAGGGTTAAGTGAGAAGAGGCTGTAGTTGGATAAGTTGGTTTTGTTTGGTAGAGCAAAATGTTGGTATAATAACGTTTGGGAGATGAGGTGATTTTTAATTATTTTGTACCTCTAAATTCATTGGCAGACAGGGGACCTTACTGCTGGTTTGGGCATCGAGTTCCATATCTTTGGGCCCTTTACATTCATTGCATTTTTGCACGGGGTGAGATGGACAAAAGGGTTGTTGAAGAGAGTTTTGTGCCGTGTGTTGTGCTTGTGTGTTTTGTTGTAGAAGTTTGAGAGGAGGGTTTGTATTGGAGTTTAATGTTCTATATACAATAATAAGCACAGTTATATGAGTGCATATTTTGTATGTTAACCTTTTCACTGTCGATGTCATATAGGTACAGCATACGACCCAGTGTTGGTGACATATTAATATGCCAAAATTCTATCAGCTTCAAATCTTGCAGGAGAAAGCTAGTAGGCCTGCATGTGAGAGAATGGGTCTACATGGTCAGTGTGCACAATATAAAAAAAAAAATCAGGGAGCCAGTGGTGTATTATGGGAATGCCATTTCAGTAGTTCTTGTTCAGCATTCCTAGGGGTAAGAAATATCTGACTCCCTGGCAAATTTGGGTCTCTTCTCTTTCCAAGTCATAGTTCTAACACAGATGGAAGTGTCAATGAAGATGAATTTCATGGTTCTGAGGAATTTGTGACCAAAAGCAATGTCCAGGATACCAGATACAGATAGTGAACAGGGAAGACAGCTTGTGTGGTGGGGAAAGCAGCTTGGATGATGGGGAAGACAGCGTGGATGGTGG